GCGTATGAAGCAAGTGCATCTTGATCGTAAGTTATCAGCAACTGCCAGGCTCCCGAAACGGTCCACGATCGTCGAAAGCCCTGCAGGTCGAAGTGTACATCCCTCCAATGTTCTACAAACACAGAAGTCGCAAGAAGCTACTCAAACGAATGTCCCTCACCATCATCACCACCCCCACCACCATCATGAAGCACAAGTCATTCCTGGGCAACAAAACAAATCGCCAAGCATACCTCCTCCACTTACTCCGGGATACGTACAACAACTACAGCAGCAGTCGGCACGACCGAACGTGCATCTTGATACGCATGACGGTCAAAGTCATTTAATACGACCTGCCTTCGCGAGGAACAACACTGAGGTGAAAATTATTGATGAGAGTCAGCCGAGTTCACCGGCAGTAGGACAGGAGGACCGACAAGAGATGCTCAACATACCGCCAACTGAAGACAGCATCACCTTGGCCGACATCGGTCCTCTCATTGAAGCGGCGCAAGCTAGAGAACAACAACGTTCTCTACCTCGATTGAACTCCATTCCATATATTGCGGAGCTCAGTGCACTGGAGTTGGCAATTGTCAAATATTCTGCAGTTCTCGTCCTCATTAGGTCTCCTTTGAAAGATCAAATAGATTTGGAGGAATTGCTGGAGATGGTAGAAGCAAAGAAACCAAACTGGTGGAAGACTTTCCTAGGCAGGGGTGATAAAAAGAACCAGAAGAAGAAAACTGGTGTGCATCTGTTATTTAATCTATGAATTTTATGATTCTCATTACGACTATGCTGCAGGCACGTTTGGCGTTCATCTCGAGATGCTGGTAGCTCAAGAAGGCGTTGACTCCCTTCTTGGTGCTTCTCGAGCCACATTGAGAGTGCCTAGCTTTATAGACGACGTAATTTCCGCAATGCGACAAATGGGTAAGTCGAACTTTATAGAACGTTCATTGGTCCCAATGCTGAATGTCCCAGATATGTCTGTTGAGGGTATATTCCGCAAGAACGGCAATATTCGACGGTTAGGTCAACTCACGGATGCGATCGACCGAGATCCGCTCTCTGTCGATCTCAGTCAGGATAATGCCGTCCAGCTTGCAGCCTTGCTGAAGAAATTTCTGCGAGAATTACCAGAACCCCTAATGACTTTCAAGCTATATAAACTATGGGTTGCAGCGCAAGGTTTGTGAAGACTGTAATTGATCAAAAATTGTAATTAATCAATCTTGCAGCGCTCAAGAACGATGATGAACACAAGAGGTTACTACATATGATCTCTATCATCATGCCCAAGGCTCACCGAGACACGATGGAGATTCTTTTCGTGTTTCTCAAATGGGTAGCTTCGTTCGCTCACATGGACGAGGTCACGGGCAGCAAAATGGATTTGGGCAACCTTGCAACTGTGATATGTCCCAGTATTCTTTATCCACGGCACGGCACGGTCCGTGACGAAAGCTTCAAGGCCATAGGAGTGGTCACAGCCCTGCTTGAAAATCAAGATGAATTTTTCGCTGTGCCAGAGGAGTTCTTACCAATATTGCATGACCAGGAATATTTTGTCAATTCCTTCGAACTGAACGGAAAGGATTTCATGAAGAAGTGTGACACGTACCAGAAAATCAAAGCTGTGAATGGTCGGCTACCTACGCCCGGACCATATAACGGTCCTAATGGCAGTACTCCTCGCATTGGTCCTGGTCCTGGTCCCGGCGCCGGTCTTGGTACCTCACCAATAGTACCGGAGCGTCCTCCACCGCCACCTGCTGCTCAACGACCTTATGGAGTGACACAACCGATCCCTTCGTATCCTTCCTCATCCTCACAGCACGGCCATATTGGAACCATGAATACCCCAAGAACCCCTCAGCCTGAAGAATGGTCTTCTCCGCGGCCCCCGATTAATCCCAATGGTTTATCAACCCCTTCACGGCCTTCCTCATACGTACAACCTCGGGCGAGTGGTGAGTATCTCGCCAATGTCCACCCCAACAACTACATACCAACTCCGAACGGGTATCAGCCAGCCCGTCAACGGACTGGGTAATCATGTATATGCATGGAGTTTTTGGGCTTCTACACGTTCCTTGGTTAACCTCGCATCGCTCCTTGGCCTTGTCCGTCCACTCCCTTTCATTGTTATTTACTGTGCCATTTTATGGCGGTCCAACCCTTGATCCTCCCTTTCCACAATGCTCTTATCTCAGTGTATTTTATTATCCTCATTCCCTGTCTATCTTTTCTTTTTCTTCCTTTCTCTTCCTCTATCCATTTTTATTGATATGACAAGGACGACAATATCTCGCAGTACTTACGATACCCTCCTCATCCCTTGCACAAGGAGTTATGCAAGTGCGAATTTTTGATGGAACGGCTAATTGGCTGACATGTAATTAGCACGTCTTAATGTTCGTTGATAATTCATCAAACAATTTCGTAAATCAAGCATTCTCTTCTTAACGCCAGTGCCCAACGTGCGAATTGGTTAATGAAGGATTGGCTAAGACACAGGCGCTCTCAACATGAACTTTCCTTACGTTCAATGTTTTCTCTACTAACGTATGCGCTATTCGAGGGTTGATCATTTACAACTGAGTCCCTCCCTCTAAGCAATGACGGTAACTTCCTCAGTCCAGACGACCGGTGATTTTCTTGGAAGTGGAGTCTTTCTGGGATAGTCCCGGGATAGTCATGTTTTAATCCAACCCAAAGTAGAATAACTATTGCTGTCAACTCCTCCAATGATAGCGGCTCCTTCTTGCCCTCTAACCCATTTTAACCAATGCAAGCACCATTAGAGTATATAAATACCCGGAAGAGATAAGGAATGCATATACAGTATAAGGATAATGGTCCCTTCATATCGTCTCATCTCTAGATGCATTAAGATTATCGTTATCACAACCATTCCTCGTTTTGTGTACATAGGAGAACTCTGAAATATAATCCTCGTGAAAGTGTGTTTTGCAGATTAAACATTCCCTGCGATCTTTTGAGGACCACGGAGCTCCTCGCGTCGGTCTTGGATATAAGTTGGTGCTGCAGGAGCAAGTTCGGCTTGGTCCTCGGCTGTATAGAGAGGACATATAATAATCGGAGGAAGGACGGACAGTCAAGAAAGGTATGTGATATCAAGGTAGGAAAGATGGGTAGTCGAGTTAGCATTGACAAAAGTCCACACATACTGAAAAGAGACGTACGAGCGGAGTACCAGAAGTATGTGATTAATCCGATGATAACGATGACATATGCGACGAAGTATAACCAGTACGGTTGGTAGTGCTAGAGGGACTATCAATTTTTCAAAGTCAAACGCTGAGAGACACTCAGAGACACTCACATAAAGACCCAACCCAAATATTAACCCATAGAAATCACTCGAGAGTAAGCTCAGATTGTAGTACCCTGAAGACGCCATGCGGTATAGGATTGGCGCAACGGTATACAGGATGAACATGGCTGAGGTGTATGCAAGTAAGAGGCCGACTGTGATGAATGAGATAAGGAAGAAAACAAGGAGATCAATCTTCAGTGAACTGAAAGCGGTTACTGGACGAGATGAAATAATGTACCATTGGCGCCGCTCCACGTAGCTGCGTGCATATCATTGTGCTCAAGTCCAGCAGCTTGAGTGACACAGATGATGAATCCGAACATTCCCAGTTGACCGACGACCTTTTGTAGAGTTGGTGAATTGGAACAAAAAGATGTGTTATGTCAAGAGTGTACCTCGTATAAGGGTCTCTTACGGACAAAGAGTTCCTCTGTGGCATTTGCTATATAACGACCAGATATGAGTATATGAAAGTTATTCGCGAAAGGAAAACGATATTTACTGAAACCGTATAGAGTTGCTCCAGCGACCATGAGAGCATCACCTTTTCCACGCGAAAGCGCTTCGTAGTCTTTATCTGTCAGTTCGTCGGAGCAAACAAGAAGTCCGAGACCTAATACGCAGATGAAGACGCCCTATCCGAAGTTTCCACAGATCAGCCATGAATCCATGTATGATTTCGAAGAAAAGAACCTATACCAGAAGCTGTGTCCAGTGGTATTTCGTTCGGAAATAAATCCATGAGAAGAATAAACAGACTGGAATGGCCCATCTGTTAAGTTCAAAGCAATTGAGGATGAGGAATTGATTTTTTTTCAATACATACGGGAACATCACGTACGCGTCAAGAAGCATGCAGGATAACAGATCCGTGTATTCGTAGGCTTTCACGACCATGAAGTTTCCCTCTACATCACATGCGGCTAATATGATATCTGACAGAAGGAAACTAGTGGCTTAGCCCGACTGTACGAAAAGAGATAGATGAAAGGTACGTACATTTCCAGCCGTCTCGCATGACCATTTCAAGCCATCCTCTGAGGCCATCTGGAGAATGACAATATGTTAGATGCGAGCTAAGATAAGGAAGGGAGGCTACTGACATCGGTATATTGTGTAGGGCGTGTATGTGGCGAAGAGGGCAAAATAGCTGTACAAAGACATGAGTCATATTGTCATAATGAAACTATAGACAGCGGTGGAAAGCGCACAAGAAAACGTTCTGGGTCGTTGGAAGAGACCAATTCCTAAGCATTAGTTCCGTCGTGGAGACATTCGTGCAAGTAATGCACAGAGACACAATCTGTCCGGCAAGCAAAGAGAAGAGAAATCTCTTGGTAAAGATGCTCCTTATACGAGCACTGACACTGTTGACGAAGGCGCCTGGAGTGGAAAACTTGATGGGAGGTCGTTTCGCAGTGGTCGAAGTCCCGATGATTGACTGAGATTCGAGAGCCGGAGCAGTGTAGTCTAGGTCCTTTGCATCCTTGACCATAGGGGAAGACATTGTGTTGAAGTTATCCCAGTAAGTGAATGCCAGAGGTGGTGGTGGCTAGAGTTTAAGCCGGACGACCACCATTCAATAAAAATGCCTCGTATTTGTGGAAAAATTTACCGATCGATCGGAAAGCAGTCCGGATCGGTTCAGGCACGGTTCAAAAAGAACGAAAAATGGACACTAGGAGAGTCGAACTCCTGACCTCTCGCAAACCACTAATGCGAAGCGAGCGCGCTACCAACTGAGCCAAGTGCCCGATACATTGTAGTGTAATTCACTTGAACATATTTTATATGCATATAGGCAAAAGCTGCTGGGCTTCGTACTGTAGCTCAGATAATTGCAAACAGTCAAATCGCTCGCGTCAACTGAAGAGTGACAAGTTACCGAGCACAGCGAAAGCTAATCCCAAACTATCGATTTAACCTGCAGATAAAACGAAGCGGGTATCATATCTAGCATTGTGGAAATACACGTCAAGGACAGGTCCGTGCGATGCGATTAGTTGGATATATAGAAATACAGTGATTTTCCAAGTCTCAAGACTAAACCTTCTTGAGGTTCCTGTGCAATTCAGGCTTAACCAGCGTAACTCTGTCGAGCAGTTTCTTCACGACTTCATCCTTGTGGCTGTTGTAGGAATCCGTAATCGATTGTAGCTTCACTTCGGTATCCTTGTCAATGGTGGCTTGTGCTTCGGATGTTGTGCCAGCGTGCTGGAAACCGTATGAGTGTATGTGAAGAATGTCATGAATAGTTGCGACGCACTGATGCTTCAAACTTCTTGAACTCGGCCTCTTTGGCCTTCTTGTATTCCTCTATCTCTTTAGTAGCCTCTGTTCGAGCATCCTTCAATTTCTGAACACGGTCTGTTGGAAGATTAGAGATGAATCTCATAAAACCGTTAGTTTTAAACGAACATTGGCGGGCTTCCTGTACAATTCTGGCAGCGGCTTTCTCAGCCTCGAGAAGAGTTTGGATACCCTGAGATTGTTGGGCAGACTAGGAGCATTATTAAAGATAGTTTCAGATAAACGAGCGTATAATCAGTACCATGTTGTCAGTTGAAGGCAGAAAGATGAATTGAAACTCAGCCACAACACTGATGTAAAGGTTTGTCGGAAACCATAGTGTTTGACGATGGCGAGTAATCCGGTCGACCCTCTACAAACGTTACAGGCTGCTCTAAATACCGAACCAAATTCTAAGGAGCAAGCAGACCTTCTTGCATCACTTCGAGAGTCACTCGAAGCCCAACCAGCTCCAATTCGAGTTCTAGTCCCAATTCTCATCTCAAGAGTCGTCAACGCAGCTGACTCGCTTCTGAAATCCTGGGTTCTCGACCTATTTCATTTCGGTTTATGTCGTTCTTCGTTGAGCTTGGACGTGAAGACGCAACGTTCGTGTACAATATCTATTCTTCAGTCAATTATAATATAACCGCGGTTTCCTTCATCAGTATCCTCTCAGACCCTAGAAACTCTGTCCCATCTACTCGATGACCCTAATCCTGCCACCCTGAAGGTCGTCATACAATCTCTCGCCACTGTCTATCCCCTACTCTTTCGATCCCTGTAAGGAGTCTTCCGAGTTTCCTCCCTATGCGCGTTCCACATTGAATTCGACAATCACAGATGCTTAAACCGCAACAATCCTGCTGCTTGGAATGTACTATCAAATTGCAAATCCAGAATATTAAGTTTCGTGGGCCTACCGAATGTGAATACGGGTGTAAGAATCTCCGCGCTCAAATTTATGCAGCGGGTTATTCTCGTGCAGATACCGCAAGGAGTATCAGACCCTAGAGTGAGCAAACACTGCATTTTTGCTGTGATCATAATCTAACATGACATTTCCTGGTCATCAGCTTCAGAATAAAAATGACCCAAACCTTTCGTTCTGCCCAGCAAACCATCCGTTCATTTCTGTCACACAACTGGAAGCGGAGGGCCAATTACTCCTCAAAACTGTCGTGGAGATACTCTATTCTACCCAGTGAGTGAGACTACAATTATCATGAAGTCAGTTGCTGAACACAAGATGTCCAAGAAACGTCGATCTACTATCGGCACTACTCAACAGCTGGGCTACATTGGTGAAGACGCGTCCGAACATGATGCATCTTGTCGTGGCTGCTTTGAAGCAATGGACACCCGCAGCTTTCAACGGCTTCTCGGCGTCGACGATCAAGAGTGCTGAAAAGGCTGTCCGCATACTACTCATACACATAACGCGGTACGGGCAAGCTATATCTCTAGCCTTCACTTCCAGTCTGATGTAAATGTATTGCTTTCTAGGATTCCTAACGCGAGTCAGTTCGTACCGCAGATCAATGAAGCCTTGACAGCTCAGGCATCTCGGATGGAATTAGCTGCTTCCGAAGAAAAGAAGAGAAAGGCTGCAGGCATCGCCGACACAAAAAAGAGACCTACCACTGAAGCAGACCGCACCGACGTGAAACGGGTCAAATTAGAGCCCAGTCCAGCAGAACCTCCTCCTCCTCCGGCTGCCTCAGATCCCTCCCTATCTTTATTAGCTTCCTTTGACTTTTCAACACTCCCTGCGACACTTATAACGGATTTGATTGTAGCCAACCTCGAAGCATTTACTGAACCTACTTTGCTTGCGCTCATTCAGGCTTACAGACAGAGGATGGGAATTGGTACTTCCTCCACATCGGCCCCTCCTCCTCCAATTGCTCCGACTCCCGCTGTTGTACCAGCAGCGCCTCCAGCAGTTCCAGCAGTTCCCAGTAGCAAAGCTGTAGTCGAAGACATAGCTCGCCCGTTCACTCCCGAACCATCCGCTGCGCCTGCGCCTATCGTCAAAGAGGAACCTGTTGACCCACTGCAAATGGACATTGACCAAGATGAGCTTGAGTACGAGCCAGATCGACTTAACGAAGAGGTGATTGCATTTGATCGTGTGTATGTGTTACAACTTACTGACTCTCGCAAAGCTCTCAGGTCCAGTGCCTTCGACAGAAGCTTCCATAGAGCCAGACCTCGCACCTGGCACCGCAGAACAGCCAATCAACCTTTCACTCGCCGAGTTCAAACTCCCTCCACCAAAAGACTTGGTCAATGCAGATGATCGCATTGATTTGATATCCAAATCCATCACAAGGATCCATGAAGAAGCGGCGGATATGAGTTCAAACACAGCTATCAATCCTGACCCGGATGTGACGATTGGTGGGCCATTGGATATGTGGATGTTGCTGGTAGTTAGGATGTTCACACGTGTGGCGGAGCCTCCTCCGGAACTTGATCACCCTCAAGATGGCGAGGATGCTCCGATGGATGACAAAGAGAAGGATGTAACGCTCTTTTATGAAAGACAAGACAGATTAAGACGAATTTTGTGTGATTATATCATGTCGGACTTTCCTGGACGGTAAGTTTATCTCACTTGTGATGGGAGTATAACCTTGAGGCGATTGTGCTCTTCTTAGTATTCGACTTGCCACGACATGGATGAACGAAGAGTGGTATAATGATCAAATACGGCTCGAAAAGAATCCAAAATGGGTAAGGAGAAGTGTCTCTTTTCTGTGTGTTTCCGGTCTTGCTAAATTCGTATACCCTTAACAGCGACCGAACTATGACATTTGGCTAAGCCAGATAGTAGCTTCATACCAAACACATTTAGATGGAAAGGATCGAACATTTGCACGTTTTCTGCTCGACCTTCCATCCTTACCTGCCGACGTTTTGTCCCTTCTACGTGAGCTTTGTGTGGACCACGAAAGGTAGAGAGTTCATCAATCTATCTCATTTGGTCTCTTTTGACCTGTTAATGATCTTTCAGCCCAGATAAAATGCAAATCGGATTCTCTACTCTTAGAGGATTTGTCATGCAACGACCTCTAATTCGAGCCGATGCTCTTAATGTTCTTCTTGAGCTAACAACTCACTCTGCCAAGAAGATTCGTGGGGCGGCTATCAACACCGTGAAATTATGGGTTCCTAACCATCAACCTATGGATAGTATGATCCGCGAGTTCGCGCTACAGATCCTGCGCAAATTACAGCGGGTGCCCGTACAGCCACCTCTATCCGAGCCCGACGATGACAACACCGGCACCAAGGTTAATGGAGACTCCGGTCATGTAGTTGCTGAAGCAGGGAGTGCGAAAGGCAAGAGTAAGGCGCCAATGGTACCGGATCCAGATTCTGAACTGGAAGACGGTCAAGAAGAAAACATGGAGGATGGACAGCTGCCCCAGGAAGATCTCATTCAAACACCCTACCTTCCTGAAAGAATCGAATTACCAGCGGAGAAAAGCCATGTTCTACAGCATGTTGAGCTTCTGTTTGCATTGTCAGTCAAAGTACCTGAACTGCTAGATGAGTAAGCTACTGTTAATTTGTGCATGTCGCTTCTGAACCTTCTACATCTTAGTCTGTTCGCTGCATATGGGCAGATGGACATTACTGTGCAGGAGGCTATCCAGAGCCTCATAACAGCACTCGTCCGCTCATTAGGATCGAGTCATGGAAAGCTTTTGACGTTGATGAGAACATGCCCACCTGGCGCTGAATCATTAGCTCTGCGTGTCCTTACTATATTCACTGAACACGGCAGACCTAGCCCGCAGCTTGTTGCGTTGGTGAAAGGTTTAATCAATGAACGTGATCTCGACGCTCGGTTCCTAATACCCATCATCGCCGAAATGGACAAGGTACAAAAATGTTGAGTTTAATTATATCATTATTGATCTGTACTGCTCATAGCCCGACATTGTACGCCACTTGCCCCGCATCGTCTCGATACTCGATGGGAAGCCAGAGTCTAAGAACCTAGTTCGCTCTGTCTTCAGTTCTGTGGTGACTACTCCTCCGCAGACCTTCGGCAGTGTCTCATCGAACATGCCTCGGGTCCGACAAAGCGAACTGCTGACACCTGCGGAGTTGATGGTGCTGTTGCACGATTCAGAGAAGGAGATCGGTATCAAGAGTGCTAAAGAAGGTGAAATTGACTATCAAGTCTGGAGTCGCAATACTGACCATTCGATCCAGCTATTGGGATATGTTTCTCCATGACGGATGTTTTCCGTTCGGAGATTCTTGCCGTCGTGATGCAACAGATTATGGACGAGCCGGTGCTACCAGTACTCTTCTTGCGGACTGTGAGCTTGACAATATGTCAATTGCCTCTCTTGGACCGCAATACTGATCGCAATGATCTTGCAGGTTATTCAGGCTGTCACGACGTACAAATCTCTCGTCGGGTTCGTATCCACAACGTTGTTAT